AATGGGCAAACAAAAAGAGGGGTAGACAACCCACGGAATGGGTCAAGGTTGTAGAGGACGTATGGAAGGGGTTTACAGCGGCGAAGATGAAACGCCGGAAACGGAGGGTCTAAAGGGGTTCAAGGAGAAGATATCTGTTGCTTGTGCCGAGAGAGAAGAACAGAATCTGAGGAAAAAATCCAAGGATAAGGAGGGCCTAGAAGTGTATGGAACGTTGAAGGAAGGAATAGAGTTCAAGGATTATCCACTACATGGAACAATGGATGCAAGAGCAAAGCTTAAGGTCAAATTCAGGACCGGGGACATAGGCCCTCGAGAACGTCGACGAAGACATAGGACAGTAGACGACGATGACGACAAGTTCAAATGTGACTGCTGCTTCGAATGCGAACACCGTGTTCATGTAGTCGCGGAATGTCAGTGGTATAAGAAAGAGAAGGAAGTGTACGTGACTGGGCTTGGAAAAATCGATGGGACGTACAGGGAGATGATTGAGCGATGGAATAGAGAGGAAAGGACGGTAGCTGTACCGGGGCATAGGAAGTGGTTTGAGACGGCGGGAAGGGACATCGTTAAGATAGACAGACTAGGGAAGACATTTTTGGGCCACCTTTGGCAAAGTAGGAAAGATCGATTGGCCATCGGTGATCGGTCCTGTGGGAACAATGCTCCGTCCCTAGGGAAGACATTTTTGGGCCACCTTTGGCAAAGTAGGAAAGATCGATTGGCCATCGGTGATCGGTCCTGTGGGAACAATGCTCCGTCCCTAGGGAAGACATTTTTGGGCCACCTTTGGCAAAGTAGGAAAGATCGATTGGCCATCGGTGATCGGTCCTGTGGGAACAATGCTCCGTCCCTAGGGAAGACATTTTTGGGCCACCTTTGGCAAAGTAGGAAAGATCGATTGGCCATCGGTGATCGGTCCTGTGGGAACAATGCTCCGTCCCTAGGGAAGACATTTTTGGGCCACCTTTGGCAAAGTAGGAAAGATCGATTGGCCATCGGTGATCGGTCCTGTGGGAACAATGCTCCATCCTCTCGAGGACGCGAGGGCGCGCGGTTAATGGTCTAACCGCTAAGGCATGCAAAACATAAGAGTACCCCCCCCCCCC